CCATCTATTTTTCCCAGTTCAGTCACGTACACATCCCTCTCCTTCTTGGACCACGGACATTCCGCGACTACATGAACACGGTCTTCGCATACGAAGCCGCAATCACATTTGAAGTCGTCGTCTTCGTCGTCTACCGTCCTGTGCCTTCGTCAACGTTCTCGAAGGCCTATGTCCCCGGTCCTGAATCGGGGGGGGCGGCTTGTTTTACGACGTCGTTGCCAAGCGACGAAAACCCAATCCCGATGGCAAACACCGATAGGGGGGGTAGGGGATAAGGCCACAGGCCACCGGCTGCTGTTGTGGTTTCTTGGGGGACAATTCCTCTTTCAAGGCATACCAAAACGCCACAAGAAAGAACGTGTCGCGAAGAAAATTGATCGGGGACCAAAATCAAGTCAAATTTTTTCCCTTGCGCCTCTTCCCCCACACACCCACTCACCAAACTCAGACAATAGTGTGCTCGATAACAAAATTAGTGTGAAAGAAGGAAGGTCGCATTGCAGGACAGACAGAGAAATATGCGAGCGCTTTCAGTACGCTATTCAAGGCCTATGTGACCACGGCTCGGAGTAAACGGCACAAGTGCTGCGACGCTGATGTGAAGTGAAGACAAAAAAAAAACTACGAATCAGGAAACACAAGGCCTGGGGGGGCGGGCGGGACATGCCACATTCCCTATCTTTTCGACGCTGCTCGTTTCTCGGGACGACTGCCTACATCCACGAATGGATCGCAAAAAAGCTGTTCCGTCTCTTCACGGGGGGGGTTCTGCACACTTTGGCAACCGGCAACCCCCTCCACTCCCCTACACCCACACACCCACTGCTTGGCCGCAATCTACGGAACACTGTACCGTCCGGCGTTGGAAGGGATGCCCTGTTCCACGGTCCGAAGGACGCTGCTATCTATGGCCATGCCTAACACTGACTATGGGTACCAACCCCTCTCCCCCGATTCCTCTTACTCACTTCAGTGCGGAAGGGGATGCGGAGTTCGCGCAGGAGCGCCTTGAGCTTCGCGCAAAAGGAGCAGTAGGTCTTGGAGAATACCAGCACTCCTGGCATGGAGATGTTGCGCTCAACGATGGCCGTCCACCTGCAGTTTCCCAAGAACGAGAAACACAATTCCGAAGGATCAAGGATTAGGAGACAGAAAACTAAAGAAACACGGACCAAGGAAACTAAGTAGAACGAGACTAAAGACGGGTAGTGCCTCTCTTTGATGTGCATGTATTTTTCCTGGAAACATACACATGAGAAGTGTAAACGGATCGATTGGTAGACCCGGGAATCCGTCGAGAGACATGGGGAAGGGATAACGCCCGATGAGTGCACACGCATCGCAGGAGATCAAAAAGCAGGCCTGGTATCTAGGCGAAACCCCTTTTCCCTAACGGAACTGGTACACGAGCAACAACGATGGCAACACAAAAACAGAAGGGCATACAAAGCCTACAGGATGGTACATACGAGAAACAACAAGACTGGGGCTGGTGCTTGGCTGGCCGCTTAAGCCGTGCGGTATCCTTCGCAACGCGAACTACATAACGTGCGTTCCTTCTCTGACTCATCCGATGCCTGCAGCATGGACCCTCGCGCCTCCCTTCCATCGCCAAACTACCCCTACACACCCAAGAGGAGACAAGGCCTCCAACCCATCGAGCTTCCACCTCAATTCACGTTCAAGTATTTAGTTGGTTACCAGGACAAGGCAACAACTTCACCAAAAAGTTAACTCTTCAATTGTTGAGGGAAGATAGGAAGTCAGGAAGTCAGGACTGAAAGCAGACAAGGCAAGCCGACAGATTTGAGTCGGTCAACCAACCCACTCGGGGAAGCCCACGAGATTGAGCAGCAGCCAACCTCATACTACATCGGCCCGGTCGCTTGAACACTTCAGCCGACCGAGCATTATAGCAGCAAAGCAGCAGCTAAAGCAGCAGCAGAAAAATCAGCCCTAGCAAAATCAGCACTAGCTACATTAAGCAGCAGCAGCGGAAGCAGTAGCAGCAAAAGAACAAGCAACCGCAACAGCAAGCAAAAAACAGAGGCAAACGCAGTAAAGCAGGCACAAACTCCACGCCTCACTCACATCGTCCGGTCGCTGAACTCCGGGAGCGTGGCGAAGCGATCCTTGACCTCGTTCCATCCCCCCAGGACGTTGCGATGGCAGCCCTTCCAGTCGCAGAAACCCGTTAGCCTTGGTTGGTCGCCGTCGTTCTGGTAAACACGTTCGCACGACCGTTGTACATGCAAGGACGGGGGCATAAACACAAGGGTACCGTATATGACACAAGATAACACACACCCTGCACCATTTTTCAAAGGTCAATCCCTCCACGACGAAGAGGATGCATAAACGAAATGATACATTTTTGGAAAGCTCTCGACGAGACGATTCCAACGCCACTGTTTTCGGCGCCGTGACTTTTCTGTTGTTGAGAAATCGATATTTGAAAATCGGTCCAGGGGGTGTGTTATCTTGTGTCATTTACGGTATGTTTGCATGC